ATGTATGTATGTATATATACGTATTAGTATTGAAACAATGTGGTTGGTATACCTCAGGAAAATGAGCTGGATTTGGCCAATAGCGAATTGCGGCAGTTTCAGGACCGGATTATGGCGGATTTGGAGAGCTACACTGTTCAGCAACACGGCACTGAACAGGATCAGCAGACGCTAATACAGGTAGTTGGCTTCTAAGATGTGCTAGTATATGCATATGTAGAAATGTGACGATACCTAGAGACGTATGGGGTAATCTGTATCTATCGGTGGACGTATGTACGGATTCTTATTGCATGTGTATATAAACACTTCGTATACGACAGCGTGTATGTATTTGTCCCTTGACCTGTGTTCAAGTGCCTCGTGTGGATGTATTGTAAATATTGGCACCGCCTACTTTCTTATAGAAATTGTACGGAATGATTTTTTAAGGAATTCCGAGAATATTAATGATTTGCATACCATATCTTGGTAGTAAACAAGAAAAGCCTATACTTCAACTCGGAAAGTGTACGGAGAAAAAAAGAATCGCGCTTATTTTGTAGGAATATTTAGGAGAGCCTAATTTCGATCTAATATGAGCATTTACATAAATTATTTGCAAATCGCTGCCTAGACCTCATAACGTAATGATTGTTTAAAATTTACGTTCAAAAATTGTGTATTTTTACGTATAACGTATATAATATATAACCATATTTTTATGTATAACATAAATATAACATATGTGTGCATTCATATATATATATATATATATATATATATATATACATGTGTGTGTGTGTGTAGAAAAACATAGTTGTACGTAAATTGATGAGATTTTCCTTTTGCACACGCACAGAAACACACACGGGCCTGTATGTTGCACCGAATCTCCAAGCTATATGTATACTGTATATATCAAGTGCGTGTCTACAACTAGTCGCTTCTACATGTATATATAGTTGTCGCCAACTGCAGGTATATGGACTAAACTCCCCATGGATTTTCACATCTTTACGCGCACACACAAGACGTTTTACGTTTCTTGTTTGCACATATATATAGTATATATTCATATCCATATATGTATAGATCTTGACCAAATACACACAATCCAAACACCCATACCCACAGACGCTCAAGTCAGAGGTGCTGATAACGCGCATCCAAGTGGAACGGAGTCGGGTGGACTTAGAGCAATGCGAAGAGGAGAAAATCCAGGCACAGCAACAGGCCAAGGACTGGGAGTTGCGTGCAAATGAAGCGCAAACGGTTTGTCTTGTGTGTGTGTGTGTGTGTGTATACTTCACAAAGTGCATGCGTGCATATGGATGATGCTCTGTGTGTGAGTCTGTGTGTATGGGCGTAGGTGTAGTTTCTAAGTTGAATTTAATGTGCATGCATGCGTACCAGTGCTTGATATATTGTGCTTGTACGACAGGCCAAGGACAGGGAGTGGCGTGCAAATAAAGCGCAGACGATGTGTGTTGTATGTTGTATGTGTAAGTATGGGAGTTGTGGTTTATTGGCAAGGTGCATTCGTGTATATAATTTAATGTGATGTTTGCATGTACGTGTAATTGCATGCGTGTATATGATTGCTGCTATGTGTGCACGCATGTGTACGTACTAAGTTGACGCTCATCCGCGACAGAACTGAGCGAAGGTCGAGAGCTTCATGGGATATACACCAACACGTTAGTGTGGTTATAGAGCATGTTTCGTCCAGCTGTATTCGCAACTACTATTAGCATCAAGTTTCCTATTCACACAACTGTTATTTTACAGATCGACTCCGATATTCGATGTTCAAAACGCATATATGTATGGTGCAATATTAACGAACCATTCCCGTTTTCTTCTCTTTTTTACAACTGTGTGACCGCCTGAAACAGTACTGCCGTGAAGTCGAAGCGAACAATCGGAACACAGTGACCACACTGGAACAGAATATACAGGAGTGTGAGCAGGTATGTCGGCGGTTGGTTCGCTTAACATATGCTTGATATATATATATATATATATATATATATATATATATATATATGTGTGTGTGTGTAGTGT